AGAGAATATAATTCCTCATAAAACATGTAAATATAATGGCACATAAAAAAAACATTTGAAAAACGGAAGTCAATACACATTCACGATAGTATATTAATATCGTAAACTCTTCTCGTATGTTAGCATTTTGATTAATAAGATATATTCAATACAATATGCAACATTGGAAGAAACTAGCTACCATTTTCTCCACTGTGTTAGTAGATAAACCAACATCCAAACCATCTAAGAAACCTAAACCAAAAGTATATAAACATTCGTTTCTTGTAAATATGCAAAATTTTAACCTCGTATGGCTCGATACCAATATTGACGAAGTAAACAATAGTGATTGTTGTAATACAATTAGTCAATTACAACAAGTTGTTAATATTGTACGTACATTTACTGATGCTGATCGTTGCATTGATTTTATTAGTAGTATTGAAGAAAAAAAATTTTTTATGATTATATCTGGAAGTCTTGGGGAACATATTGTACCTAAGATACATAATGCATATCAAATTCATTCTATATATGTTTTTTGTGAAAATGAGTCAAGACATAAACAATGGGCTCAAAAATGGTCAAAAGTAAGAGGTGTATTCACAGAAATTCAACTTATATGTGAAGAGTTAAAACAAACTGCACAACAATGTGATCAAAATGCTATTTCAATTGGTTTCATTTCTATAGATGAAGAATTATCAAAACAAAATTTAGATCAAATGAACCAATCTTTCATGTATACACAAATATTAAAAGAAATTTTATTAACAATTGAATTTGATCAAAAATCAATGAAAGATTTTATTGTTTACTGTCGTCAGAAATTTGCTAATAATTCTATTGAATTAGAAAAAATCAAGAAATTAGAACGAGAATATAATCAACATAAGCCTATATGGTGGTATACATATGAATGTTTTCTATATTCAATGGTTAATCAAGCTTTACGTACGATGGAATTTGATGCTATTATTAAAATGGGCTTCTTCATTCGAGATCTTCATGAAGATATTGCAAAATTACATTTTGAACAATTTAGTGGTCATCACAAATCAGATTCATTTACTGTTTACCGTGGTCAAGGTTTACCTATAATAGATTTCAATTATTTGATGAAAACAAAAGGTGGTTTATTGTCTTTTAACACGTTTTTATCAACCAGCAAAAATTACCATGTTTCACTCAATTTTGCTCGTCGATCTCTTTTAGAGTCTGATTTGATAGGTGTTCTATTCATAATGACAATTGATCCTAGTTTATCATCAACTCCATTTGCATCCATCAAGAATGTTAGCTGTTATCAAGCAGAACGCGAAATTCTCTTTTCAATGCATAGTGTTTTTCGTATTGGTCACGTCAAACAAATCGAACATGATAATGATCGTCTTTGGCAAATAGAATTAAAGCTCACTAGTGATGATGATCATCAACGTCATGATCTTACCGAGCGAATACGAAATGATACTTCATGGTTGACAGGATGGCATCGTCTAGGTCGATTTTTAATTATGATCGGTCAATTTATAAAAGCCGAAGATCTATACAAAATATTATTTCAACAATCTGATAATGAAGCTGAGCAAGCACATATTATGCATCATCTTGGAGTAATTAAAGATGGTCAAGGAGATTATGAAATGGCCATTTATTTTTATGAAAAATCACTTCAAATCAATAGCGAAATTCTTTCTCCAGATCACCATTTTTTGGCTAGTACGTACGATGGAATTGGCTTGGTATATACGAAAAAACACGACTATTCTAAAGCACTCTCATCACTTGAAAAAGCACTGGAAATGTTTCAAAAAACTCTTTCTCCAAATAATTTTCATATAGCTATTTCCTATGGTAATATTGGTAAAGTATATGATGGTATGGGGGAATATTCAAAAGCACTCTTGTATCATGAAACAGCTCTGGAAATTTTCAAAAAAACTCTTCCTGAAAATCATCCTAATATGGCCACTTCTTATTGTGATATCGGAAATGTTTATGACAAAATGGGCGAATTATCAAAAGCACTTAAATCTCATGAAAAAGCGCTTGAGATTCGTGAAAAGATCCTTCCTCCAGAACATCCTTTGTTGGCCAATTCCTACCATCATATTGGTGAACTATATGTGAAAATGCGCAGATACTCTCAAGGACTTCTATTTATTGAACATGCTATTGATCTTGGACAACGATCATTACCTGAAAATCATCCTGATCTTGAGCTTTATAAAAGCAATCTTAAACAATTGCAAAAGAAATGTTAAATGTTTCTTATCAAAGAAATCAAATTTTACCAGAAAAGTCTATTTTTCATAATATTTGTATGAGTGCAGAAAAATTGTCTTATTTAACAAGATAAATAAATAAAATCATATACCACACCGATTAATAAATAGTCTGTGTTACTCATATATAATATAATGTAATTTAACCGACAATTTCTTTTTCATTATAATCTAATAATAGTTTATTGAATAAATAAACAAGTGGAGAGAACTATGATTTTTAAAAGAAATTTCGTTGTTTTTTTCTTTTATAAACATTTTAGTTTCATCAATAGAAATACAGTCTTTCTGTAAATATTGAAATCCTAATACATATTGAACAGAAAAAGTAGTCTAATATTCAAGAAATAATACGCTCACTACTATTATCAGACATTATTATAAACAGAGTTAGTGTTTTATATAAAAAAAAAATAGTTTAATGAAAGTTATTTTATATCATGCAACTCATATGTAATATTGATATATTTGTTTTTGTTTGACACTAAAATGAATATAAAATATTGAGACAAAAAAAAAAATTAATTTTCGACTAACAGTAAACGTGTAGATGAAAATTTTGATTGCATAGTTCAGAAAGAAAAAAATTACAATCAATAATTAAATTTATCTCAAGTAATGAGCAATTTTAATTTCTAATTATTAAACAGTTCATTAGAAGAAATTCATATTTTGAATTGTATAAAATGACTTATAAGGTTTTTTTTATAAATCAAAAATAAATATTGAAATATGATACTTATATCTATTGTAATCAAAGTTTTACCAATAAAATCATCAATTTTTTATGCGATAATGCTAGCAAAAACTTCGAGACAATATGGTTTCTTCAAAGTAATTGCTATTAGTTTGTCACGCCTATATTAATCATGCAATATCTGAAATATATTTTCATGAAAACAATATGAATAATCTATCAACAAGTCAGTTTATGTCATGTCTATGACGCATATGTTTTCGTACAATGTACATTGAATCTTCTACTTTTGTTTTTAACTACACATTTATTTTATAGAAATGCTTATTTTAAAAATAATTCAAATATGTAGGTGATAATATGGAAAATACCAAGTCTATTGTGGGAAAATTCACAGGCCATGTGACGAAAGAAAACAAAACCCAACAATGATTGGTAGAATCCTACCTGAGCAGAAACGAAAAATATTTGCCTATATTAAATACGTCAACTATATAAAATAGCAGAACAGAAAAAAAAAAGAAAGACACAAAATTTTAGTTTTACTACAATACATCACAATTCAACGTTGTAAGTTAATATAAATCGAAATAAAATTATAGATCCACATTATATCTATATCATAAATAAGGTGAAAAAATTGTGCGTATTTTTGTTAGTTTATGTAGCATGTAAAACATTCATTCGTTGTTTTCTCATTGAACGATATGCAAAACAATATAATAAAATTAGTAATTGAATCATTGATAATTTCATACTAAACTAACTATGATATCAAAATGAATGAAAAAATAAATTCTTTTTGATATCATAGTTAGTTGGTATTTTTTTTCTGATACAAAGTCTAAAATTATTATATTCATTATTTTTATTTTTGTCTTTCGATTAGTAATAGTATACGTTAAAAGTATTCCAATAAAACTATATTACGTCATATCATTGCATGAAATGATTCGACAAAGAAAGTAGAGTTTTATCGTGTGAAACAATTTCTTTGTTTTATTAGTAATTTAGTAATTATACATTATTTTAAAAAAATTAATCTTATTTTGTAGATTAATATATTCTTCATTTATCTTATACACTCTTAGAAATAATGGTTAATCCAATGAATATTGCAAGGCACCAGTCATCATTAGTATGTTACCCTGTTGATTCGAGAATTGTTTCTGAACTGGTACGATAAAATAAAAACAGAATGAATGCTTATTTAAGTTCAATATTTATTTCATATAGATTATTGATGATTTCAACAGCAATGATGAATTAAATATTGATGATGATTTACTGAATATGTTAACTAATGGTAAGTTTATATACTATAAATAGACCCGATATTCAATATAATAGTCTCAGGTTCATTATAGATCATATTCATACTGAGAGAGATTAGTTGTGCACTAGTTCCAGTTACCTAACTATCAGTTTATTAGTCGTAGATTGAGCCCGATACACACTTAACATAAATGATAATTAGTTGTCATAGAAAAATGGTCAGTCGAGATTAATAGAAGAACACTGAATGTGTACTCAATCCGGCAGGGTTTTCGATCGCGCTGGTACCAAGTCGATTAGTGACATTCGAAGCTAGTGCATATTTTTAACCCTTTGACAGTGGATTCCTTTATAATAAATAAAGTAAAAATCTATTGTTAATATGGTATACTTGGAAAATTATTGACGATCAGAATTCTTGCACTTAGATTTGATTTAAAGATGTCATGCTGTTGTCAGTAGCATGCATGTTAGAACACAACAAATATTGAAAAAGCCTGATTTATTATATTTTGGCTTCATCTATTAATCATATTTTTTGAAACTGTAAGTTTATGGAAGCCGCCGTCAAAGGGTCAAGGCAAACTTTGCTCTTGCATTATTCATATTTATAATGTGTCACATGTCATGGGATAAAAAATATTAACTACGTTTTATTTGATTTATTTGTCAGAAAAGAAAAAAAAACCACCTTGTTTTCGTCTGACGCCTATGGGAAGGAAGTCATTCGTCTTATAAATATATAAGAGCCAGAAATAGTATAGTCGCAACAAAAAAACTTCACAGCTTAAATACGACGTAGACCTTTTTTCTGTCTATTTTTAGAAATGCTCAAAGATACATCAGATATGACTCAATTTGATGACATTATATCACAACTTAATAATCGCACTGGATTAAAAAGTGAACGACAATTACAAAAAACAATGTTAAATTCATTACAATCAAGTAATTAGAAATTTTTTTTTTCTTATTTGACATTTCATATTTTTATCTTATTATACATTTATTAGGTATGTTGATACCTTCTAATAAATTTATTCAAACTAACAATTCATTAACTAAACAGATAGGTATTAGTGGTAAGTGTCATTAGAAATTTTTTTTGAAATTATACATTGTCATATTATTTATTTCAGATGCAATTCTTGTACAAACAATTTCACAAAGTCATAATCAATTATGCAATACTCCATTGATATCGGACAAAGTAAAAGGTATATCCATTGTACTTTATTTTTTTTTATAACGAGAAAATTCATTCATTCATTTATTAACTATTCTTTTAGTTCATCCAAAGCAATCGACAACTGTAACTCCTGTTAATAATACGTCAAGTATGTTTAAATTTAAAATAAATTAAGATGTAAGTTAAGTAATATTTATTTCTTTTTTCCTAGAGTCGAATACTTTCATACAATGTAATGCCCCACAAATAATACCAAATGATTTAGTATATCAAGAAGAATGTATGTGTTATATTTTTAATTAATTATTTTAATTATTTCAATTTTTTGTTATAGCTCTTCAAAAAGATATGATAAAATCAAATAAAATTCAAATAAAATGTCAACCACGTTCAAAATTTCGTCCACGAACACAAAATGAAAGTAAAACTTCATCACACTATTTACGATGTGAAGATGATGCTGAATTAGATCATCCTGCAATATATGTAAGACATTGATTAATAATGTTCAAATATATTAAAACAAGTTTTTCTTGTATTTTAGATACCTGAGATATGGGCTTGTCAATCAGATATGAATATTATTGAAGTTGCTCTTATGGATATTGAGAAACAACCACATCCATATACTATTGATAATAAAATTATTAAAAATTCATTAGAAGATCAAGCATTAATTTTCAAAGGAGATAAACCTAATATATTATATTTCCGTTTAACTAATGAAGATTTTCTAAATGGTTACAAAACGTAGGTTTAATTAAATATAGATTGTTTTTTTGGAAAATTTTTAACTTCAATATATATATATATATCTGCTTTTAATAGCTTTATGATTGAATTAATTAAAAGTAAACAAGATGATGTTATTACAAAAAAATTAATTCGATTACGAAAACTTGATCAATCAATGCTTCGTTTTACACGAATTTATCAAGATAAATATGGTAACTATCAACGAGATGTTAATAGTGAAGAATATTCTTGTATGATGACAGAAAGTAAGACTGAAATTGTTTTGTTTTTTCTTTCGTAGCAAAAAAAGAAATTCAATGGAAATTTGTTTTGTTTTTAAAGATTATGTTGATGTTGCTGTTGAACATGTGGGTCCACGATATGGTCCAATGTGTGAACAGTCGATGATATTTATTGTTCTTAAAGGACGTGTTAGTAAGAATGATTTATCTATTATTGTTTGTGAACAAACAACTATGTGGTCTCAGAAAATAAAAAAGTTTATCTTGAATAGTAATATCATTTATTTTCCTATGCCTGCTTTTCCATATTCATGTATGAATTATATAAAAGCAAGTATCAATATCTACTATAAAAATCAACAATTTCATGAATCAACTTATCTATATATGAATTCCTTAGACAGTATGTCTATCTTGTTTTTTATCAAATAGAATATTTTTCTATATTCTGTTTGTTTTGTTTAGAAGAACTCGTTGATCTTGATTTGAATGACACAAATTCACATATTAATGATTTTATGACAAAAAAGAAACTTAATCATGATATCGTTGACAATATATTTTGTA